GACTTCTATCATAGACCAATGTTCCTCTCAACTCCCGTCTGAGTAGCTTCTGTGTCCAGCAGATGGTGACTGATGCAGACACTCAAAATTGATCATGGTGCAGATAATAAGAGACCACAGAACGCTCAACCCTAAAGTGAACATATATACCTCCTCCCCACTACTTCCATGCTTCAGGGACCATTTCAGAAAGAGTGTAAGGCTGGAAGGCAGTGGATGACTACAAGTCAACAATGTCTTTTGGACAGACCAGGGAAGTTGCACACATGAACTCACAGTGGTTGTGACACCCTGCACAAGGCTGCATAAGACTAAACCAGACAGCATGGAGGGAGGAGTTGGGCACCCAATACCAACCCTAACCACAGAGCTATTTGGCAGTTGTTAGATGCTGGGAGAAGAAAAGATAATTTTCTCTAAGAGTGTAGTCCCCAGTGTGCAATCATGCTCCAGTGTAAGACTACACATCCAAGAATATCTGGGCACCACAGTTGGTCTTGAGTGGTATAAAAAGAAAAGAAAGAAGACGTAAGTAAAGAGTGAGGGCCTGGGAGGAATGAAAATGATCAAAGTACATTGCAAAGAACAAATAAAAACAGTAAAGAGAAGTGTGTTAGCTCCAGCTGTACTGGAGAACTATTTCCACATGCATTTTTAAATAATATAATATTTTGTACATAATAAGCCAGAGATCACCAAACCATCATCTGTGTTGATACTTCTTTGGCTTCTTAGATGGTCATGCTTTGATACCCATTACTAATTAAGCAAATTTTTTAATGTTCAGTTCCTCCATATTATAAGAAGCTGAGCCAAGCTACAATAGTATCCAGTGACATGATATGTCCCAATGGAATTTAGAATAAGGAACAGTGAAGGTGGATAGATGAGGTGCTACTTTCCGAGACTAATGAATGACTCAGAATAAAAAAGGCCTTAGAGGGTGGTAAGATCTCAAACAGGTTTGAGAACTGGATAAACCAAGGTGCAGAGCCCAAAGTGTTTGAGTAATCATGAGATACGTGCTAAGAGTGAAGAGAGCCACGTTCACCACCCGCAGAGGTTGAAGGTGAGGTCAGAGGCTATGCAGGTTCTGCCTATTTTAGGCACTTGTTTTCAGAGTGAGTTTCCATCAGATTGGCTGATACTAAGTGTCCAGAGGTTCTTTTCCATTCTGCCTATGCAAGTGCATAGGTTTTCTTCATGCAATTTATCAAGCACTTGGCTATGGAAAAAAGATTAGTTTCTTTAAAAAAATTTTACCCATATCAATTTGTGTTAAAGATCTTATGTAAAATCATTGCAGGATATCAGTATCATTATTTAATTTAATATGTACTTTCTTTGGGAGATTTTGGCTTCCAGGATCAGAGCAGTTTACAGTATTTCATGACAACAAGCACCAAAACCCACATAGCAGACAAAATAAATGAATTCATTCACTTCTCTGGCGTCATCACAAATGGAGAGGGTTCAGTTCTGTTTTTTCCAATGAGAAAGATACAGAGGAGGTTGAGAAAGACAGGTGAGTCGTCATTTGATGGCTGCCTGGACAGGAAGTGCCAGTTTTCTTTAAGGGTGTGATCCCTAGTAGATTAAACAGACTCTGGGGCAGGATCTACACTTGGGAGAATCTGGGCAACAGGAATTGGACTTAAGCTACTAAAAAGAAGAACATAAAGCTGAGTGGGTAGTGAGGTCTTGAGGTAGTTGGGAGGGTAAGGATATGGTCAAAATATGTTGTAAAGAATTCTGAAATAAAATATTATTTCACAAGTAAACAAATAAAATGCAGGTGAAAAATTGACACTTTTGTCTCAAGAGCTCAGGGTTGCCTCTGTAGTTCTGGCTATTTCTTGGTCCGTTAGCTTACCAGGAAGACTTAGGCAAGGGCAAGATGATGGTGTTGGGAGAGAAATCCGCTGAAGTGGAGGTTTTACTTTATATTTATATTGAATGTTGGTTTTACTTTATATTTATATTGACCTTATATTTGTAGCTGTTTGTGTGGCACGTGGTGGCAATGTGTAAAAGGGAGGTGTGAGGAGATTGTGAAACTGCTTCTGTGATATGATAAATGTTCTTTTTATTGACTTTCATACAAGATAAGATTTTCCTTCTAGAAGAGCGTTAGCTCGGCCACACGAAACCGTGGCAGCCCAGTCAAGAGCATCCACCGCTGTCTCAGCCGCAGATGTAGCTTTCAACTCTCTGTGATCTCCCGTTTCCTATATTCCCATGTCGTGCCCTAATATCTTTCAGGGACCTTCTATCAGCAAACCCCAAGGGTCCTTATTGGCACAGAAATCTCACATGACTCTGAAGAGACTTTAATGGAGTATTTTAGCTCTTTGTTTTAGTGGATCTTACATTTGACACAAAAACAGAACCTATGTAATACTGTAAGCATTCTCCAGCTCTCCAAAAGTTAAGAGAGCCCCCTTTTTTCAGTATTGCCTTTTAAGAAATTGTTTTTGAAAAGTGAATCATGAAATGAGATCAACAGAGGGAATATTTTGAGTTACCATAATCCTGGCAGGAATTTAATTTAGTTAATTTTTTTTGTTTTGTTCAGTTTCTTTTTTTGGATGGAATATCCCTAATGAGTTTTTAGCAAATCCACATGCTTGAAGCATGCTGCCTTTCCTTCTCTAAGATACTATCAGAGCCTCTCCTGAGCTAGCAAATGGCATTTATCAATATTCTCTTCCACACTATCCTCAAACTGAAGACTTTTTATACTCCCCCTCCCCCATGGTTCAAGGAACATCTGAGGATAATACGTTGGCATACCTTATTATTGCAGTGTATACTATTTTGGAAGTAACTTATGGACGCCAATTCTGTGGACGTCAGACAGAAATGAAGATGAGATGAACAAGTGTGCCATTGTCCTGGTGATCTATGATGAGCCTATGGACCTTATTACTGAGCTTGAGCTCTACATGAACAGAGTGGGCCAGGTCTTCACAACACGCATCAGCAAGGTTCTTTGAAAAGAAGGCATTTCCTGCCTCCTTACCTCCCTCCCTGAGCATCTCACCCAGGCATCATAATGCTGGTGCCCATAGGAAGCATATCTTTCGTGTCATCGTTTTTATGTCATCTGGTTTAAAGGAGCATCTTTTTGCCCTCTCCTTTTAACCCACACACCACCATTAACCACACCTTAAAAATAGATGTGGTAGGCCGGGAGGTGGTGGCACATGCATTTAATCCCAGCACTCAGGATTAAGGCAGAGGCAGGTGGATCTCTGTGAGTTCGAAGCTAGCCTGGTCTACAAGAACTAGTTCCAGGACAGGCTTCAAAGCTACAGATAAACCCTGTCTCAAACAACAACAACAACAACAACAACAGAGTAGACGTGATAGATGAGATACTTGATTGAAAAGTTAAGGGGATATTGGCTGAGGTGCTGGGGGCAGTATTGCGCTAAGGTCCACTGGTTAGTTCCACTGAGTCCCTGAATAATAAAAAGGGAGAGGTTACTAAAGAAGAAAGGGGTCAAAGAGATGGTTTTATGGATAAAGGCTCTTGCTGGCAAACCTGACGACCCAAGTTTGATTCCTAGGACCCACAGGTAGAAGGAGAGAACTGACTGCTGCAAGTTACCCTCTGGTTCTAACGTATTTTATTGCTTGGCAGAGGACTTTGGGAGGTCATTTTTCCTCCTCTAGAATGCCTTCATACTGATCTAGATCTTCAAGTTTAAGGAATGATTAAAGTCTTGATAATGTGTGTTACAGATGTCCTTTGAAAAGAAGACATTCCTTGTTTCCCTCTCCCTCCCTCCATCTCCCCTTCCAGCCCCATCTCTTCCCCTAACTGCCTCTCCCCCTCTCCCTTCTATTCTTCCTTCCTTTCTCTTCTTTCTTTCATTTATTTTGGTGTTTGAAACTGGGTCTCTCTAAGTAGCCTAGACTGGCTTTGAATTCACTATGTAGTCCAATCTGACACTGAACTTATACTAGTGACCCTGCCACATGCACACTTGTGCGCACACACACACACACACACACACACACACACACACACACCTTCTTGAGTACTGAGATTATAGACATATAAAACCATGATAGGCTATTTTCTAAAGAACTTCCTTTTTCCCAGTGCTGGAGTTTGAACTAAAGGTGTTGGATATATGTATACTATATGTATGCTCTTCTACTGAGCTACATCATAGTCTTGAAACGAAATCATTTTCTAATATCCTTGGTCTGTTTCAGCTTTTGGTAATATGATAGTGCACCGTTACATTTCATGCACGTACTACATATTCACTCCATTAAGGTTTCTCCGCTTGTTTGCTTTTGTTTTGCTTTGTTTCGTTGAGACAAGTCTCACAGGTAGCCCAGGCTGGGGAGGCAATCATTATACAGACAAGACTGGCCTCAACTGAACTCACCAAGATTCTCCTGCCTCCACCCTCCACCCCCAGAGTGCTAGGGTTAAAGGCCTGTGCCACAAGGCCTCCCTCCAATAGGACTTATTTCTGAAGGAAGGACAAACAGGTAGTCTCATTGGCTGTGCGGCCCAAATACTGAAACCAGCACCTGCAACTGTGACTATTCCTTCCTAAATTGAATCCTCACAGGGACATCCAGACGAGGGAGGGATTCTTCAGTGCTCTCCGCTCTGCTGATGGTGCTGGAGTGGATGTGGATGCTTGGGTAGCAGGTTGCTTCTCAGCTGGGAGAAGCAAGATTGTGGGTGGAACAACTCCCCATGGGAATCTTACACTCTGCACAGCAGAACTGACGGCTTGAACAAAATCACAGTAATGACAGATCAGGTGTTAGGGTTAGCGAGAATGAAAATAAATAAACACATCTAACACACAATTATGGAAAGGTCCCTGATGTGAGTGACTACGTACAGCTTTCCCGATCGTCCAGGATAGTGAGGTAATCCGAGCCCTTGCTTAATGAGCAGGCAACAAGATTTTTTATGTTTGATGATATTAATTTCTGGGCCTGGACTTTTTATAGGTTGGGTGGAGGCCCCAGGAAGTGAGTAAACCTCCAGGGAGAAAGGTGAGTAGGAGGAGAGCATGTGGTTTCCCTGGGCTGCTGCGAGGCTGATGCTGATCAGACAGACTCCTCTCCAGCATCTGGCAGGACTGTCAGACACCGCGAGGTACATCTTCAGCACACAGGACTATTGAGGCCTTGGCAAGTAGAGACCTGTGGTGAGTTTTTTGTATTGGGCACAGGTACATGTGTGATAAGTTTGAATATTGTCTGCTAGTTGCTTTTGGCATGTATACCGATGTCTGGCTGTGCAAACCTCTCGGGGGAGGGGGTATCCAGTTTCAGCTGACTGTTTTCTTCTCTATTCTAGGAAATTTCAGCTTTAAGCAAGGAAAAAAGCTGCAGTTGCAGCTGCTTCCTGCTTTCCTGTGTCAGTTCTAAAGGGCTTGATCTATAGACACCAAACGAGATGAATGGCTCAGAAGCTAGGACTGACCCCGAGCACCCAAAGGTTAGTTTTCTATTTCTGGAGAAACTTTTGGTTTCTTGATGTGTTTTCTGTAGCCCCAGTAGTGGGGGGGGGGAAACAGGAAAAATTTGGTTCAGAGTAAAAAACTGTTACATTTACTCTTATCTGCAGATCTTGTAGTAGTGTAATGTGTACATGCTCATCTATAAATTGTTATATGTGTGGTTAAAGCCTAAAAAGCTATAAAAGGGTCAAGGAGAGTGTCAAAAGAGGAGCTGGCAGAGGGATGAGGGCAAAAGGACATGCATCACATGAAGGAGAGAAGAGAAGACCAAGATGCAAATGAGGGCAGGGCTGGGAAAAGAAGGGAAGGACAGGTTCCACAGAGACACACTGTCGAGAGCATCCTAATGATACCTGCTGCTGCACACAATGGCTGAAGATGGAGTGCCTGCCACGGGCAGAACACAATAAAAGCTGGTTACCTTGAGTTTATCAGCCCCAGTTTCTAGTCCCCATCCTTGACACTGGAGACATGGCGGCACTGCTGACTCCTGAAACCACAGGTGTCTTCCTAGACTGCTTATAATGGGTTGTGCCTGACTTAAGGGATGTAGAAAGTAGCGTAGAGAATGCGATTTGTAGTTGTGCTGGGCGGCCTGCGAGTGGCTGTTGTGACTGTAGGAGATGCGGGAGGGCGGCTGCATTCGGACTCTGTCTGCATGCCAAGGGTAATGTGATCATGTGTGAGTGTCATGGCGACTCTGCATACCCGTCTACTGATAAAGGTTGTCATACCTCCTTCCCAAGGCTTGATGTGAATGAGATGGACTAACTCTTGCAAAGGAATGGAACAGCATGTAATTAAAGGGTGCTGGTTTTCTGCCCCCTTTCATTCAAGTCTTTGTTAAATATGTAAAGCATACCAGGAATCCATAGAGCTCTATGTAGCCACCACCCCATGTGGCTACTGAGTGAACATTTGAAATGAGAGGTCTCATCTGACATGTGTTCCCAGTGTGAAATAACACTGTCACATCCCCATGGAATTCCTTCCTAAAATCAGAAAATCACTTTTGAGTCTGTGGAGAATTTTTCCATAGAAAGCCAGAGTTCAGTGAGTTCTGAGGTGGTTTTCAGTCTCTGGTTGGTAAGCATTTTTTTTTTTTTAATTTGCAGTAACATTTTTATGAATGAGAATTTTATTTTTAATTTACTGCTCTGTGACCATATTTTTCACAGTAGTTTGGAAATGTTGAATAAATGAAAACAAAAGAAAGGGATAAAAACTATTCCGTGATAATATAAATATTAAACTTAACTCCTAAATTGATAAAAGTAAGCCTCTTACTTTTCGGAATGTGGTAATTGGGAAGTTTAATTTTTATTTAATTTATTTCTTTGTGTGTGTTTGTGTGTGTGTGTGTATACATGAGCACTCTGCCTCCCAAGTGCTGGGATTAAAGGCATGTGCTACCATTGCCCAGCGATAGTTATTGAGAATTTAAGTTTGCATTTTGCATGTTCTAGGTCTACTGGGAATTCTGTAGTTAAAAAAAAAAACCAAAAAAAACCTTATTGAGCTGATCTTAGCAATTTTGCAGAGGAAGGTAAAAAACAACAAAAGTTAAAGAAAAACATAGAATTCCATATTCTATACAATGAAGATAAGTTTCTATGGATATTAAATAGAATAATGTTATTTAAAACATCTCAAGAAGGAAAGCTTCTTGAGGCAGGCACGTTAGTGCTAGCCTTGAGAGAGCCTCTTTCCATATGGAGTAACCAGGAAAGTGGAGACAGCCTACCAGACACTGCCTCCTGATTCACCCACCACCACTCTTGGTCAACAATGAGAAAACCAGTGGAACTGTCAGACCCATGAAGGTTTCTGACTCCTTGGAGTTTCTGTTCTGGTGAAGAAACAGGCAGGTGAGGCAAGTACCTTGCAGAGCAGGGAGGGTCACTGACCTGTCCTGGCAGCACGTTTTCCTCTTTCTTTTCCCTCTCAGGGCCGTCAAAGACCGCAGCAGCCTTGATCACATAGGTCTCTAGGGCGGGATTGTTCTTCCTTCAAGCTTGGTATTAAGTACTATTTATGTCTGTCCCTTGATTTTCTGTTCCCATCATCGCATTTTGACTCTGACTTGGCATCTGAGAAATGAGCATCTGATGTAGCCTCCTGATTGCATCTTTGCCTGCAGGCTCTTTCTCCCTTTCCTATATTCTGGGCACGGCTGACAACTTAATCTTGAGGAAATGCCATTCGGATCACGTAGCTTCTCTGCTCTGAAGCTTTTCTTAACACCTTTCTGGCTAAGGAGTAGTTCTTTTTGCCTTTTCTTTCCTTAATTTGTAGGGAAACACACGCTGTAGCCGAGATCCTTAGCAGAAATTCAGAAGACTTCAAATCCCAACTTAGTGAACCAACTTCTAGCTACATTGGCATATTTATGCTTTTATCCTGCATTGCCCAGGTATGGTAGTCATCCTTGTCCCTCAGAGCTGACCACTCTCTCTGCGGAGTGGGTGAGAATGTATTGCCAAGAGCTTAGGCTCTGGGGGCATCAGACAGGATTCCAGTCTCAGCTCTGACAGTAAACTAGCTATGGGAACTTTCTCTTGAATTTATTGTTTCATTGTCTTGAATAGCAGGAGGCAAACAGAACTTTGTATCCCTTCAAGTTGGACAGATAAGACACTGCACATAAATCATTTTGTAAGTGCTTAGTCCACAGTGAGTTCCTAGTCAGTCCTCTACCTCGGTTTAAACAAGGGTCAAACACCACATGTATTGATTAATAGATGAGCATCTGGGGACTTCTGGATATCTTCTACACCACTAGTTTCAGTCATTTTTAAAATTATTATTGGACTGTGGTCCAATTATTGAACAGTGGTACTATTGTCTGGAAATACTGGATATGGACACTGAATAGTGGAACTGGGTGAACTTCTAGATACCATTCTGTGTAGGATCTCTGCGGTCCCTTAGGGTAGGCCTTGGGAGTGATTTGAAAATCTTGTAGATCTTTGTAGGTCATCTATTTTTATTGCTCAGGTGATTCTCTGGTCTATCATTATGTCATGGAATTGCTTGCATATCGCTTACCATTCTTAATTAAATGTCTATTGTTTAGTAATTGATTGGTTTGTTTTGTCAGTGAAGTACAGTAAGAAGGGATTGAAGCTAAGGACATAGATTTATCTAGTCATACCTCAGTTCTCATATTTCTAGTCATCTCTCATGAAGTCTCCATAGACTTAAGTTCTCACAGAGGTGGAAGTGTTAAAGCTGCATACAGGTTTGCGGTCTACACCCAAAAGTGTTGAAATGCATATCACTCCAAGGAAATTCTTTTGTGGGTTGCCAAATAAAATATAGAATGAATAATAAAATTTAAATATCAAATAATGCATGAGCTATGTGGGCCATACTTCTTAATTATTGCTTGCATGAAGCACAAAATGTCAACAGGTTTTCTATACTTTTGTAGCTCTGTTGTTGCTAAGATCACTCCATCTTCAGGTATTGATATCAATTCCTATGCAGATGTCACATTTACTCTGACACAGATGGGAGCTCTTCAGATCTCTACATTAGGTGTTCTCAGAGACTCTTGCTCTTCCTCATAGCATGGAGCCAGGTTGGACAGGAAATGCCCAGAGGACAATTTGTATAGTGGCGGACTAGAGACACTTACTGATTCCTTTGGCTTCCCTTTGCTCATTTCCACTGACCTTGAAGTTTTTGTCATGAGCTAATGTATTTGACCTTTTACACACTAGGAAAAGAATTACATGTGAGGGTTTGGAGGCTGAAATACCAACTTTAAGTGTCGTCTTGGGTGATGGAAAAGACGGTTGGTCGATCCATATGGTGTTTGTTTTCCTGTACTTGGGTCAGTTGTTTCCCACGGAGCTATTTATCCTTTCATATCTGAAACTGAGGCTTGTACCTACACATCCGTCCCTTTTAATTTCTGTTTTCTACACAGTTTTTCTGTGTAATCTTGATTTCAAAGGAAAGGTATGGCATTGAATTTATTTTTCTATGTGTTCATTTATTAATAGGATATCCTAAGATTCTTTAGTCTAACTGAAAAATTAGAGATTTTATTCAAAATCATGCAGTTTTGGGGCACTGATGAATGAGGAACTCCTAATTCAAGGGAAGAGCTGCCCTCAGCAGATATTAGTGTAACATGATGAAATTCCAGCACTTTCTGAGAGATGGGTGATTATAAAAGGATAGTTCAGAATCTCCCTCTTTCTTTCTTTCCAACTTACAATTGGATCTTTCCCTCTTACACACACTTCACTTTACCTGTAATGCCGTATGTAATAAGGCCTTTGTGAACCTCACTAGAGTCTGAATAAATGGGACTGATACTATCTTTCCCTCATAAGCATGTGAGCTTGTGTGAACTGGTTCTGAGGAGACATAAACATCTACTTACCTAAAATAGTGAACCAAAAGGAGAATAGAAACAAGTTTACCCATGGAGCCTGCAAACCAAAGAGATTAACTGGAGTTACTTAAAGGAGGATAGGCAACTCTATGAGTGGCTTTCCCAACAGAGAAAACATCTTTCCCATTAGCTGTTAACTGTCTGCATATCCTATCCTACCCCTTCCATGGATGGGCCAAATTTTGTTCAGGTCTCTGGTGGGTAACCACAGGTGTGAAGGCCATGCCATACACAAGAGACAGCAGTCCATAAAGGCCTGAGTAACTACTTTTCTTTATTTAATCATAACAATGGAAAACAGATGATTTAGAAAAATTTAAACATATAATATATATAGTTATATTTATAAGATTAAAAAATTGAATGATTTTTGGGTTAGTCAATAATATTCTCAGTCTCTCTAATTCCTATAAACTCATAATTATCTACATAGATTGGGTCAGTCTGAGGTTAAGTTGCTTTCTAGAAGAATATTTTGTCCACATTTTGTTTGATTGTATTTCTCTTCTATCCTGACAACTGTTGAGTCTTTAACATTGTCACACGTGAAGGTTTTGTAAAGTTCTACAC